TCTATCCAAGGTAGATTGTCCTGTAGATCACTGAACAACTCAGCGTTCTGCCTGGGGACCATAAGAGCTGTGGCCTATGAGTCATTCACCTGCTTACCCTGAGGCCCTGGCTGCTGGACAGACAGCTGGGACTGGGACTCCCGTCATGCTCAGGGCACCTGGTTCCCCCTAATCTCTCCAGAGAGACAGAGCTGCTCTGACCCCTCACCTGTGCAGCTGCTGAGCAGACTGACAGGTGGCTGTGACAGCATCGAGCACCCTGCTGGATGAGCAGAGACCAGAGTCTAAGGGTTAAAGGACCTGGAGGCACCTGTGTCCCCAGTGGCTCAGGTGACAGGTTGTTAAATGTCGTGTTGAGGTCTTCTCTGACTCCCTCAGGATTCAGGTGTCTGGCTCCAAAGACAGGAGAAAAGAAGTGTTAATTTCCTGATGCTCTTTAGTATTGGCAAGTGGGAGGAAATTTTCCTTTGCAACTCAGAGTAAACACATGGACAGAAACCTGAAAACAATAACAAAATCAAAGCTGGCAGAAAGTATAATATAAGAACACTGTTTCAAACTTTTATAAGTAAAATAGCACTGCTAAAGAAAATATTTCCAATAAAATGATCTATTTGGGTGGTTCTGCATTTTGATAGAAAAATAATTTAAAGTATTCTTTGTGCGTAATTTTTACTGATCTTCCAAATCCTACAGTTATGCTTTTTGATTTGACACCTCCTCATAGAATCATAGAATCATAAAATTAACTGAGTTGGATAAGACTTTTGAGATCATCAAGTCCAACCCTTGATCCAACCCCACTGTGATCACTAGATCATGACACTCAGTGCCACATCCAGTCTCATTATAAAAACCTCCAGGGACGGTGAATCCACCACCTCTCTGGGCAGCCCATTCCAGTGCCTGATCACTCTCTCTGTAAAGAATTTCTAATATCCAATCTAAACCTCCCCTGGCAGAGCTTAAGCCTGTGCCCCCTTGTCCTATTGCTGATTGCCTGGGAGAAAAGACCAACCCCCACCTGGCTACAACCTCCTCTCAGGTAGTTGTAGAGAGTGATGAGATCTCCCCTGAGCCTCCTCTTCTCCAGACTAAACAACCCTAGTTCCCTCAGCCTTTCCTCATAGGTCTTGTACTCAAGTCCCTTCACCAGTCTTGTTGCTCTTCTCCGGACCCTCTCCAGCACCTCAATGTCTTTCCCAAACTGAGGGGCCCAGAGCTGAACACAATACTCAAGGTGTGGCCTCACCAATGCAGAGTACAGATCACTTCCCTGCTCCTGCTGGCCACACTGTTCTTGATGCAGGCCAGGATGCCATTGGCCTTCTTGGCCACCTGGGCACACTGCTGGCTCATGTTCAGCCTCCTGTCGATCAGCATCCCCAGGTCCCTTTCTGCCTGGCTGCTCTCCAGCCGCTCTGTGCCCAGCCTGGAGGGCTGCAGGGGGTTGTTGTGGCCAAAGTGCAGGACCCAGCACTTGGCCTTGTTGAACTTCATCCCGTTGGAATCAGCCCAACTCTCCAGCCTATCCAGGTCCCTCTGCAGAGCCCTCCTGCCTTCCAGCAGGTCGACACTCCCTCCCAAATTGGTGTCGTCTGCAAATTTGCTAATGATGGACTCAATCCTCTCATCTAAATCATCAATAAGAATGTTAAACAGGACTGGTCCCAGCACTGATCCCTGGGGAACACCACTGGTGACCGGCCGCCAGCTGGATGCAGCCCCGTTCACCAGCACTCTCTGGGCCCGGCCCTTGAGCCAGTTCCTGACCCAGCACAGAGTGCCCCTGTCCAAGCCATGGGCTGCCAGCTTTTCCAGGAGTAGATTATGGGAGACAGTGTCAAAGGCTTTGCTGAAGTCCAGATAGACCACATTCACAGCCTTCCCTTCATCCACCAGGTGGGTCACCTGATCATAAAAGGAAATCAGGTTGGTCAGACAGGACCTGCCCCTCCTAAACCCATGTTGGCTGGCTCTGATCCCTTGTCCATCCTGTAGGTGCTGTGTGATTGCACTCAGGATGATCTGCTCCATAACTCTGCCAGGCACTGAGGTCAGGCTGACAGGCCTGTAGTTTTCCTGGTCCTCCTTGCAGCCCTTTTTGTAGATCGGCGTGACATTCACCAACTTCCAATCATCTGGGACCTCCCCAGAGAGCCAGGACTGTTGGTAAATGATGGAGTGCGACTTGGCAAGCTCTTCTGCCAGCTCCCTCATGACCCTAGGATGGATCCCATCTGGTCCCATGGACTTGTGTGGATCCAGGTGGCTCAGTAATTCACTGACTATTTCCTCCCGGCATACAGGGGGGCTGTTTGGTTTCCTGTCCCTGTCTACCAGCTCCAGAGGACAGTTGTCCCGAGGGCCACCTGTCCTACTGATAGCCAGTAAAAAATATATTAATACAGGTAGGACAAGAAATCTTTGCATTTCTGCCCCTTTTCACGTGACATCTACATATCCACTAATTTTACTTCTGTTCCATAGTACTTTAAGCTTTTTACTTATTACTTTCATTGTAAGTTGCCTTGGCATTAGCATGTGTGCCTGTGCTTTGTGTTATTATTATTACTACCTGGTAGAAGTGTGCTTTTTTTGCACTTAGACCCTATTCCAGGCACAGCGAACCCCATCAATTGTCTCAAATTTGTATTAATAAATGTGCTATTTCATGAACTCTTAGAGTGAGTCTGTTTTCAAGTGCTGCCAGTTTCATCAACAGTGAAATAACTCATAGGAGAAACTGCTGAGGGGTTTTTCTACCACTGTTAAGTGCAGTCCCTATGTAAAAGGTATCAAATGTCCTGTCTGTCTTGGTGAGCCTGTTAAGTGAAGGGTCTCACTAGGTGAGACACTAACATTGTTTTGGATATTAAGAGCATTTGATCTCCTGTGGGACATTGATAGCCAAAACAGAAAAATTAATACAGGATGGAGAGAAAATTCTTCTTATCTGCCCTTTTTCATGTGATATTTTGAAATTATATAAGTCCTTTTTCCTAGGAAGAAATTGCATTTGGTTACATATATTTGCTTATGTTCAATTTTTATTGATTTCAAAAGGTTCAAGTTACTTTTGGAGTCTAAGAGTTCAGAAAGAGTAGTAAATTATTAACTTAAGGTCAAAAAACTTCCAAATAAAAAAAAAACAAACCACAAACTTCAAAAGACCCCTAACACACCCAGCACGTATAAAAAGGTAACGTGAGGTTCTTTTTCTACAGAGCCTTTCACACTGTGTCAGAGCCTGTGTGTGTGAGAGAGAGAAGTAGAATGGAGAAGTCCAGGAAAAAATTTACTGATCTTCTAGATAAGGCAACAGTGGAAGCCAATTCAATGCGTCATGAAGAACTGATGTTTTCTTACAATGGAACTCCCTACCCTACCACTCTTTGTAGTCCTGAAACATTCAGAGCCTTGGAGTCCTTTGAAGCCAGAAGTGATGATATCATTTTGGCAGGATACCCTAAATCTGGTGAATATATTTTGCTTTTTTCATAGATAAGGTTATCTAATTGCAAAGAAGTGTATTTGTACTAAATATATGCGATGTATATGATATCTTATATAATATATTAAATAATATTATT